CGATGGATTTTTTAGATTTCTGGCGGCTCGGAGCATGTATTGCGTGCTAAACTTACCTTGTCTCAAGAACGCAATGGTAATAACCAAGAGAACTTCTATTGCTTTGTATTTACTACTTTATTTTTGGCTACTTGCTTTACAGTAAACATAAAAAAGGAAGTTGGACCGATCAGCATGACTTTCACTATTCCCATGTTCAACGCCTCCAAAGTACAAGTAAGAGAATCCAGCAGCTTTTTTTGCCTTTTCTAGTTTCTTATGTTTTTCCCAGGTGAAGTACTTGCAAGTTTTGAAAAAATCAAAGTCCTATAATCCTCATCGATGGGTTCGCTACGTGACCCATGCCGATTCTTATGTTATCCGGACATAGATTCTGTGTATCTCCATACGGAGGAACAGGGGCATGCTACGTTTCAGAAGGTTGGCTGTTTACATTCCAGCATGTGTAACTGTTTTACTCACTCGTTAATTTATTCCTTTTCAGTGGCCTGATGCGATGGGGTGTCACTGCCGGTTCGCTTCGTCCCAGTTACGGAACAGTTGCCGTTTGTCTCGGATTTTGTCATGTTAGTCTTAACTGCTATTCTGCAGTTAGGACAGGAATCGAAAACGGGCGGGCGAGATTTTCCCGCAAACCGTTAGCTACGGAACATAAACTGCACTAACGAATAGGTTGGTGCAATCTAGTCTGTCGCAGCTCGTCACTCCCGGTCTGCCATAGCCACAACCTCCGTGGCTGCGTAGATTGTTGGCTTGTTTTGCTCCATTCATTCAAATTGTAGCTGGTTACGTGTTCAAGTTCTTGGTTTGAGCTGCTAAAACTTTCTTGATGTGAAAAGTGCGAGCTGGAATTATTCTCCAGGATGAGGCCGCGAGGCTTTCGTGCGGTTGCTCTCATCCTCTGTCTGCAGCTGCTCATCTCGAGCGGTAAGCTTTTTGTTGCGTCGACTGCATTGGTTGTTGATGTCTTTGAGTTTGTGTTGCAGGGGCTGCGTCCGAGGTTGCGACTGCAGATCAACGTTTTCCAGCTGGTAAGCTGTTCTTTTTCGACCATTTTATGCTTCTGAAGTGCCGAGCATGATGTTTGTTTGTGCTGCCATATTCCAGCTGGGTCGAATGGATCAGCAGGTGCTGATGCTGAATGTCTCGGCTGTGGCTATACGCCGGATGCTCCAGCTCGTGGCAGTGTCCCTCGATGCTCAGACGTTGTCTGTCTTGTCCAAGGACTTCTTGACAGGAAGAGCTTGATTTACATTGAGCAAGACATCGACGTATCAGGTCAGTCTGTTTACTTATATATTTCCGGACGCAAGCGCTCATGTGATTAGTGCAGGCAGCGGTCCCCTTCCGGATGTTACGTGCGGGGTCACGATCATGGGGACGTGCGGTGATGGCTCGCCATGCAAAATTGATGCAAAGGGCAGCTCTCAGATTTTTGTAGTTGGACTCGACGGCTATCTGACGCTAAAGGACTTAGAGATCACTGGAGGTGCCTGTGCAAGAGGCGCTGCTGTGACAGTCTCGGGTTCTGGATCAAATGACTTGGCAAGGGGAGGCAAATTTGTGGCTCTCAATGTGAAGTTTACGAACAACGTCGCTTCTGTATGTCGTAGCTTTTCAGATGTTTAACTTCGATTGATCGTGACGCCTTTACAGGAGCTAGGAGCAGCTCTGCACGTTGAATCTGGCGGTGCTGTTTATATTCGGGACTGTGTCTTCCGCTCAAACAAGGCAAGTAGAATTCAATTCTATAACGAAGGATTTTTTCCGAGCTTGGGCTTTCTTTTACAGGCTGCAAAGGGAGGAGCAGTATTTGTGGGATCCAGCAAGGACTTCCCGTCAAACCACACAGAAACGGAAGCAGTTCGAAATGTGTGTGCACTGAACAGCTGCACAACGTTTTTAAATACTGAGTTCTCTCGGAATTCCGCCGATTATGGTGCCGCCGTATACGTTGATGATGCTGCTGAAGAGTGCAAGGACAATGGAGGTGCTAAATTCGACTGCACAACCTGCGTATTTCGCGATAACTCGGCTCAGGTAAGAAAGCGGTTCTTGAAACGACCTGACAATTTGTTCAAACAGCAAGACGGAGGTGCTTTGTTTATCAACTTTCAATCCGCTGGTGCCATTTCATTCCTCCGTCGGAGTCGTTTTGCGAGAAACACTGCAGGGGTATGGTGCTCTGATTGATGGTGTGTTTTTCAATGCCCTTTTGCAGAGTTACGGTGGTGATATTGCTACGCAAGAAGGAGTATATGGAACTCGTGGTGCTCAACTTTATGCATATCAAGTTGTATTTACTGGAAGCAAGGCATCGGTAAGCTTTTTTTCGTTGTGATTCACAATGTTACGTTACACACGTTTTAACGACGGACAGAAAGGCAGCGCTGTTGCAGTCAAACCATTCTCCATTTCTACGTTTGCAAGATGTGAATTTTCCCAGGGGGTAAGCCTTTTGATTCGCTTATGAAGCTCTAAAATTTGGCGTGACAGTCTTTACTCGAATGCGACGGCGTATGTGACACTTTCTGCCCAACTTTGTCACCTCTGGTGCGTAATATTTGCCTCAAGAATGAGACATGTCTTTTATCGTTTTCTTTCTGTCTGCAGTCAAATGGCTCTATACCATACGGAAGAAGTGGAGGTGCGTACATAATTGGCTCCTGAATTCTTGGTCTAACGTGATCTTCTCCTTGCAGAGTCGTGTCCTGTTGCTCCGATGCCTTTGTGTGGCTGGGTTCCTGACGAGTGCCTAGAAAGTCCATCTCCATCCGCGACACCATTACCAACACCTTCACCATCACCATCGTTACCATCTCCGCCTTTGCCATCGCCATCACCAAGTCCATTGAGTACGCCGCCAGCAGAAGCACCAGGAGAGGCAGCCGGAGAACCGAGATTTAGAGCGAAGCGTCCTTTCTCGCCACCTCCTTCGCCACCTCCTTCCCCACCTCCTTCATCACCTCCTTCATTACCTCCTTCGCCACAGCCTTCACCACCTCCTTCGGCCTCAGCTGCTGCTCCGGCATACAGGCATAGAGTGCGTGGCAGACACGCGCACCACCGCAATGGAAGTATCACAGGAGATCCTCACTTTGTTGGCAAGCATGGCGAGCGTTTTGATTTCCACGGCAGAAGCAATCGCGACTACTGCATACTTTCGGACAAGGACTTCCATATCAACATGCACGTCTTCAAAGGCATACACAGGCACTCCACTGTACGTATTGTCATTTTTGCAGTTCATCTAGTCTGATGTGGTTTTGCTTTTTTTTCCAGTTCATATCCAAGATTGGGATGCTGTTCAAATTGGACAAGGTTTTGATAGACGCCCAGGCCGATAAGACTGCTTCCCGATTTGAGGACCAGTGGAAGGTTCTTGTGAATAATGTGAGTATCATTTTTGTTTTTCTTCGATGCAAACTCTGAAAGTGGTGGTTGTTCTTTTTTCACAGGTGGAGTTGCTTGAAGGGCATGTGGTGGGAACTCCAAGCGGATTGAAGATCGTCCATTTTGTCGGGTCGGTTCAAATTGTCATTCTAGACGAGCTAGATATGAATGTGACAGTGATGCCTCCGGGTTTCGGGAGGTTTGGATCGGGAGCAAACTACGTAAGCATCTTAGTTTCCTCTTATCTTCTAATAAACCCTCTTGTTCTGCAGCTGGATTTCCAAATAAATCAGCTGAAAGTGTCTCCCAACGTCCATGGCGTTTTAGGTGACGAGAATCCTCTCTATCATTTTTCTGATTAAGTCATGGATCAATGCAGGACAAACGTACCAGGAATCCCTGCGAACATACAAGAAGATCCACGAGGTTAGAGACAGGAGGCTCAAGAGATCTAGAGCAGCGGCACTGTTCGTGGATGGCTCCGAGAGTGATTACTTGTCGAGCAGCATCATGGCGGCCGATTGCAAATACTCAGCCTACATGGTAAAGTATTTCACGAATTTTTTTACTGTTTCTTATTTGTTCTTGTTTCTAGGATCAAAGCCAGATCTCTCAGAGAGTCCAGAGAATGGTTTTAGAGGGTGTCCAAGTTTTGCTGGGAAAGAGGGAGGAGACTGTGAAGCAATGTACTGGTTTTGGGCATTTTTTGTGCCTTTTGGAGATGGAAGAGGAAGGAGAATGAGAGGTTTGTATACTTTTTCCTTGTATAGTAGATTGGGACGTCAAGTCAACTTTTCAAATGTATAAGATGGTATTGTGCAAAATTCTCTTGTTTTCTCCAACTTTTACTGAGCTTATTTCCAATGGATGTTCTTTCATGTGGAGTTGCTAGAAGGACATGTAGCGAGAACTTCAAGTGGATGGATGATTGTTCATTTGGTCATGTCAATTCTAATGTCAATTCAAATTCACATGCTAGATTTGAATGTGATGCTTCTAGGTTTTAGGAGGTTTGGATCGGGACCATCTTCTAGTAAACCCTCTTGCTCTGCAGCTATCAACTAAAAGTGTCTCCCAAGCTCCATGAGAATCGTTTGTTTCAGTTCAAAAAAATTAAACAAATTACCAGGAATCCTTGGGAACATACAAGGTTAGAGACGGGAGGCTCAAGAGGTCCTGTTCGTGGATGTAACTGCTTGTCGAACAGCATCATGGCAGCCGATGCAAATACTAAGCCTACATGGTAAAGTATTTCACGAGTTTTTTATTTGTTTCTTGCTTGTTTCTAGTATGCTTCTTGTGCTCTTCTGCAAAAAGAAGTTTGCTTGTTGTATACCCAAAAAGACAATGAGAGTAGCATACCCTCTTCTTGCAGGATTCCATGTAGGTGGGATCTTCCTCGTCATCCTGCCCGACGGAACACGGGCCACAAAACCAAACACCGAGCTTCCTTGCGTCCCCAAGCATGATGCACTCTTGGTGGTACGGGGACTGGCAAAAGTTGCACTCGATCCAATCGTTGGCTTGCCTGAGCAAGTATAGCAATAGTCTGATTTGAACCCCCTTAGGTGGATCAGCCTCTCGTCAATCGCCTTGAGACTCTTGTGAACGTCTGTAAAGCTCATGACGAGCTGAAGAGGCGATTCGGATGTTTCCATATGTCCACATCTTCTCCGTATGTGCTATCCAGCACAGTAGCTTCTTCCTCATCTCCTCCCCCTTGAAGAGCTCATTCGCAACTTCTAGAGTGCGGCGATGGTACTTCAGGTAGCCTCCATGATAGAAACTTGGAAAACTATAATCTAGTCCCGCGACACATAATACACATCCGCTCCCATATGCGTAAGCTTGATCGGACAAAACAACGTTGCCATGTCCTTGCAGCCGGCGAGTAACTGCTTCGAAAATCTTCCCCGGAACTGCACAACCTTCTCCGCCTTGACCTCTATCACATGGCCTAGGAGCTCTATTCTGGGCTCCATGAACTTCATTGCGAGAATCTTCAGCATTCCAACCTATGCGAGAGTAGTGTCGATGGCGATAGCATTCACCCAGCGGGCCACTTCCTCCGATATGAGCTTCATAGTCGCCAGGTCTGTCCGTTCCGCAATAAGGCCAAGAGCAAACGCCTTCAGATAGCCCGTGATGCACCTGGCTCTGCGATTCTTGCCTCGATATATTATGCGAGGATCCATTACGCTCGGCAAATACTCCAACTCCTCGCCTCTCGCTCCCTGGGCCAACTCCGCAAGGTTGCCTTTGTTCACGTATTCGACAACCTCTTTCTTGTACCAGCTGAAGGCCGACTTCAGCTTTTCCTTCCGGTCACGAACGTAGTAAGTCACGAGTAGCGGCACCGGTCTTCCACTGGCCACGCTTGATAAAACAAGGATTAAAACTACAACTTAAATCATAGCCTTACCATTTTCCATACGGGAAAGTCAGCGTCATCTGCTGGTTCGTCCATTTCCTTGTCTCTGCACTCGTCCTTTGCTTGTCGGGGTGGCGAGTCAGCGTCACCCCTTGTCTCTGCACTCCTCTGCCTTTGCTTGTCGGGGTGGCATGCAATAGTCAGGATTACCATCCAGGATCTCGCACGTATGGTTGATATAATCAAGCTCCTCTTGCTGCAAATACAAAATGAATATGTTAACCAGCGAATAAAACCCAAAGACTTACCTCATAACCTCCACAAATAAGCAAATGCGGGGCACTTTTGTCTTTTGATAAGCTGTTTCCCGACAGAGCTCTGAAACGACGCGCAGATGACCACGTTGGATACTGATAAAGGGAGAACTCTGATAAATCCCCAGGCTTTTTCTTTGTCAGCTTCCGAGCATACATTTGGAGATCTAAGCTTGTTTCCATTGTCGAAAACTACGTATACTTTCCGCTCAAGCTCCTTCAAATCTTCCAAAACCTTGAAAACGCTTTTCATCTCAAGGTCCTTAACGCGTAGCAGCACGCCAAAAGCTTGATCATCGTTGATGACAGCGAGAACAAGAGCTGAGAATAAGGCGTTGCCGGGTTCGCGTATGAATGGCTCGACTGGCACGAGAGCGATGCCCCTCGACTTGATCTTGTCGCTCGCAAACTCTGTATGCAAATGGCCAACCGCGGCGGCAATACTGCAGCTTTTCCCAGATCCGGGAGTGCCAGTTATGCAGCGAATACCCAAAACAGGGTCAAACTCGTTCGACATCAAAGGGCCATCATCGAAGGACCATCAAAAGTCCAAGATAAATTTGATGACATCCAGAGTTACCTTGCGGCCCATGTAGTGAACCATCTTGTGCTCGGTGGAGGTATAGGAGGCCACTTCTGGGATTGCAAGCTTCCTGAATGTGGTTACCTGGCCGAGATGATCTCGGGTAATCCCCGAATGACGATCCTTGAGCAACGCATCCACCTTCCTGGCTTTAGCTATCATGCCACTCAGATCTTCCTGGATGGACGCAATAGGCGTCTGGAGCTGTGCGATTTGCTTCCTGAGATCTTCTACTGCGGCCTTTAGCTCCTCCATTTTAGGTCAAGAGATAACCCTAAGCCCCTATACATGCATTTGCTATCACGTGTAGATTTACGACTACCATACCCAATCTTCAGGCTAGGCACGTTTTATATGCGTTACTTTCTCATGTAGAAGAGCGTGATTGGGACAATAAATGTATGTTGCAAAACACAAGCTTTGCACTACAGGTTTTTGCTAGGTTGATTTTGTCACTGCCGGAAAGTTAGCCAAATGGCAGGATTCAAAGTGGACCAGAAAACACAGTTTCAGACCTTTGTGCTCTTATATGTTGCTTACATGTTATTAGATCCTCAGCTTATCTTGGACCACATAACATCTCCTGAATCTCACTTGAAAGACCAAGTTTGCATTATGATTTTTTATTGTAATGGCACTTTAGACTCTGAAGCTTTCTTTAAGGTTGTATCTTCTAGACCTTACAACTTTGTTTGGTTGCAGTCTCATCAAGCTTTTGCTGGATCCTACTGAAATTACATGTATGAAGGTTAGTTTTCTTCCATCCAATAATTTAAGGTTGTGACTTCCAAAGTCTAGAGTGTTATGATACGGCACTAAACAACAAAGATAATGAGACCTAACTTTGCCTAGATTACATTACACCTCCTTTTGTTGTTCTTCACCACCCAGCCACCCTTGAGCTAGATCTATAGGATAGGTTAAATTCTTTACCTTAAATCTATGAGTGATCATTAGTGCAATTCTTCTTTCAGACAAAGTGTGTAGTTATGATGTGGTATAGTATTATTAGTGCAGTGGGATTTTGATACCCATTAAATTGGTTTTAATCTGGACCACTTATTCATATATATAAATTAAGGTTTTTGGGCTAATTGGTTTTTATATTCCATGCATTCACATTATTGGAGGTGAGATGAAAGTGAGATTATACCTCTTAAAAAGTGCTTAAATTTATACTTGGCTTTGAAATATATTGCCTACACAATACAATATGGTTACAGTTGAATAATAAGACTCAATTGATAGTAGTGTTCATAGCATGTGGTGTAGCTCTTTCTTGCTCCTGTTGCTAGTCCTCTATTTTCAATCCTTTGTTGTGTTAACTCATGAATTTGGACTTTCTAGGCACCCAACCTAGTACTATTCAAATAGTATTATTTAAACTTATTTTAAAATTCTTGATTAATTGGAAAAAGGGGTGCACTTTTATTTATAAATTTTTTCTTTTTATATTTGAACCTTTATGGACCATTTCTTGAATTATTCTCTTTAGTTACTTACATGCTGTTAATCCTCTTTTACCAATCCTCACATTCGACAAAATTTCTTCCATAGGAATCTTGATAATGATATGTACTATTGATTCAATTATGTGATTGCCACCTATCATTCTTGGGATAATGCTTAATGTTTACATGAGTTTTCTATATATCTGAAAATGAATTGGTATAATGGTTTTAGTGCACCCACCTATGCAGATTAGAACCTTCTCTTAGACATCTTTAAGCACATATTTGGGTATGTTGATAACTATAATAATGTGTTCTAGCAATTGCATCATTGTCTTCATTATTAAATTATAATGTTTTTGCTTAAACACGATAAGGCACATTTTTAGGTTAAGATGAGTTCTCTAACTAATGCTTTAGCACTCTAAAGTATAAAAGAGTAAAGTATTAACATTATAGTATGGGTAGTACAAAGAAGTTATCTAGTTACTTAAAGAGATATAGCTATATGGTTACTTAGAAGAGTTTAATGCAAAGTTATTAGTTATATGCAAGCTTAGAACTCTCACCAAACTTCATCCTAGAATATGATCTCTTTTAGTAAAATTTTAGAATTCTTATCACATATTAATTAATTGGATTGTTAAATAATAGCACTATTATATGTATTCATTATTAATGAAATTATTTTAATTTATATAATTATATTATTGTGAGTGTTTGGAATATACAAAAAATGTGCATATCAATTAGCCCAAAAACCCTAGCTTATATACAAGAGCGAGTGGTCCAGATTGAAACCAATCTAACAGCTACCAAAATCCCACTACGCTAATATTAGTATACGACATCGTAGCCGTACACTTGGCCCTCACATCATCCCCTTCTCTTGGAATAATGGAAGACTATCAAGGTTTCCTTGTAAATGGGCTGGGATCTAGAGGAACATTAGGAGGAGGTATCAGTGGATTTGTACGTGGTATTAATTGCTCTTGATCCCTTTGTATGAAGCATTTTAACCACTACATATGCACAATCTCTGAAGGATTGGCCTATTAGACGTCATGCTGAACTTCATAAACTTGTGGTCCAACTTGCTGCAACACCAGATACAGTCCTTTCCACTGTGGAAAGAGCCCCTTAGATAAACCACGTACCATAAGATGGGGAAAAAAGACTAACACCAAATCATCCATGTTATACTCCGCAAATGGACGATGATGGGAGTTGTAGCGCCATTGTTGTCCCACTTGTATGAGGCTTAAGTGTTCAGCAGACTCAGTTCGGACAAATGGAAGAATGCTTGTCAAATATTGATCCCACGACCTAGTATCGACAACTCGTGGCAATCGCGAAGGTAAACCCAACTCCGTTGGTAATATTGGATCATGACTATATAGGAGTTTATATGGTGAAGCACCAACAGAACCTTACACCCCTGTGACATATGCATATCGAAGAGATGGCAAATAACCATTCCAATCTAAATGTTGAAAGTTCACATACTTCGCAATCATCCCTTTGAATGTCCGAACGAGCTGTTCCACCATACTGTCTGATTGTGGATGATAAGCACTCGTGAAAGTGTGGCATATCCCCAATTGAGATGTCAAAACATGAAATGCCTTAACCATAAATGCGGGACCATTATCTGAAAGAATCCGCTCTGGATAAGAATGCTGGAACAACCCACCTAGAATAGGAGAATCATGGTAGGCATAAAGAAACCGCGGAATAAAGATAGAAGGCACTCAAAGAGCTATTAATGACTCTTCTAGTTTTGACATATCCTAACTACACTTGACTTTTTATTTTGCATGTGGATGTTTCTGATATTAGTTTTGGAGGTGTGTTGATGCAAGAGAGCTCGAGTGTGCCTGGTCAGCGCCATCCCATTGCGTATATAAACTATACATTACAACCAGTGGAGATGAACTACTCCACAACAAAGGAGTGTTTAGCAGCAATCTGGGGTTTCGAGAAACTTCATGCATATTTACATGGTTCTTGGACGTTACTTGAAAGTGACCATGCTGCAGTTACTTCATTATTGAAGCAGAAGAACTTGGTTGGTCGTATTGCTTGATGGGCTTTGAAGCTTCAAATATATGATTTTGATGTTGTTCATCACCCAGGGAGTTCTACGGCTAATGCTGATGCCCTTTCTCGAGCTCCTCTTCCTTCTCCACTCTCTTCTCATGTTGCTGACGAGCCTGTTGCTCCTACATCTGTGGATTTTCTAGATGAGGATTTTGTGCCATCGACGATTGTTATACTTGACGTTTAGTGTCCACAAGGCGTAAAGCAAGATCTACCTTCTCTTGATGAGGTTCGCGAGGCTCAAAAGATTGAGCTATGGATTCGAAGGCTTCGAGATGGGTTTGAGAATCCTACATCATTTGCTAATGACTTGCCTTTCCGGCATTTACATTCTCAATATCACCTTGACGATAGCCTTCTTTATTTTGTGGGGACGGATCCTGATGATCATTTACGACTGGTGGTTCCATGAATGCTCGCTCACAATCCGGAGACTAGATGAAAGATGACATTGATGGCTTCAGCAACACTCACAACGGTGCAGTGTGATCAGAAAAATGATCCACAAAACGACCGAGATACTACACCTTGCCCAAGAAGCACTGCACATTATTTCACACACTTTGAAGTAGGGAACTTTAGAACAACCACAAGTTTGTCAGGATCAACTTGCAAACCCTCACGAGAAATACAATACTCAAGATAAGTTGTGTTCTTGGTCCCAAACATGCAGTTCGACTGCTTCAGCTAAGCTCTATTTCGTTAAAGTGGGATTTATTCAGTAAAATGGGACTAGGTACAAATTTTCAAGTATTTGAAAATGATGTGAAATTATATGTTTTTTGTCCATGGGTGTCGCGAATGTGACTTCGGGTATCGAAAGTTACCTGTCGACCAGTCCTTACGGACACTCTTTCCTTACTGCCACGATGGTGGGAGGTCGGTATTGCTGGACCCTTTATCAGCCCCTCTTGTTCAAGTGTTAGTAAACTGGACTTAGCATCTGTACTTGGCCGGATGAGCATAAGGACGGAATTCTTAAGTGTCTATTTGGCCAAGCATACTTGGCTCGGCTTTTTAGTTCTCTTTTGCTCTGTCTTGCACTGGCTTGACAAGAACCCTCGCGTATTGAGATTGGTCCCTCAATATCGCTGGATGATAGCTTACCGTGTCTGCCAAACACCCTCGCTATCATGCCCTTTGTGTTAGTCTCATTTCGGTCCCAAATACTATTTATGGAAAGTGTCTAGATTTGGTCATTTGGCATATCTACGGAATGTAGAGATCGGCCTGAACACAATGGTGTTCGTCCCGTGTCCAAATTCACATTCTAAGGACATTCCATATTTAGTAAGTTTCAAGCTTGTCCCAGAGACTAACTCCTGATACTAAGGGAGGCTTGGGGTGAAAGCCCAAAGCGTGTGTTCCTCAAGGGGGGGGGGGCTGTGGGGGGTTCCAAATGTATAGTAGGGATAGTGGGTAGGTCGGGCATGGCCGACCAACCTGAGGCATAGTCTAGCTCCCGCTTGCGTGCCTGTCCTTGTTCTGCGTCCGGCTTGGGTCTAAGCCCAAGTTCCATTCCATGCTAGCTGGTGGAGTACCCATATCCTCACGTTAGGCCACCGGTATGCCGAAATAGTGCCAGACTCCGTTTGGCTCCATTTTGCATGCTGGTCCTGGCATTGGGATGCTAGTTGCTCCAGGACTGTTCCAAGTCGCTCCGGGCTCCTGTCCCTTCGCTCCTTGGGC